TTTTTGGGGGGGTTTAGGGCGGCGGGACTGCGCTTTTGAGACAAGATGGAAGATTAGGGAAGATTCTTCGGGGAATGAACAGAGTTAGTACCGTATGAACTACATGAACTAATAATTTTTATCCATGTTGGTCAATTTTCTTATTAATTTTAATTTAAAGGTTACGGATATACCAATTACTGTAAAATTGCGCACAGGAATTCAAGATGATATACCAGTTGCACATAAACTTTTGCCAAAATTTGAAAGTTGGGTGAGTATTGTTATCAGTAAAATTTTTAATTCATCGTGATCAACATGTAACATTTATATTTCAATATTTAATTATTTAGGGTGTGTCGATGGCTACGGTTAATATTCAATTTTTTTTACTAAAATTCATTACATTCCAAGGATTATTAGACATCATATTTATCAATATATGTTCTATTTTATTTGACTTAAAATAGTTACATGGTCGTTCACGTCAGCAACGGTATACTAAACTCGCAGATTGGAAATATATATCTAAAGTTTCATATACCGTAAATGAGATGCCATTATTTGGTAATATAAGGTTATACTTTTTTTTTCAACTTATCTGCCCATAAATATTAACTAATAATATATTATTAGGCAACGGAGATGTACTCGGATATACGGATTATTATGAGCATTTAGAAAAACATCACGTTGATGGAATTATGATTGCACGTGGTGCTTTGGTGCGCAACTAATAAGTTTAAATATTGTCAATTACTTAAGTCTAAATACATATCTCATATCACATTTGTTTTGTTGTAATTATAAAGATTAAACCTTGGATATTTGATGAAACTAAATCAAAGAGACATTTAGATATATCATCAAAAGAAAGATTAGATATTTTAAAAAAGTTTTGCAATTACGGAATGGAACATTGGGGATCTGATTCTATTGTAAATTTTGTCATATCTTTATTTGGATTACATTCTTATACTATGATTTTCATTCTAATTTTTTCTTACTAAAATTTTAGGGAATTAATCAGACTCGAAGATTCTTTTGCGAGTGGATGAGTTTTCTATATAGGTATTGAAATCTTTGTTGAAATTAT